GCGTTCTAAACCATGGAATGATGTTCCTTTACATAGTGACAACGAAGGAAGAAAAAGGAGTGATTTGGAAAGTGATTTGTGCAAACTGTATTTCTCTAACTTCACTATCATAGTGGTAAGGAGACTGTAACAGGGTTCTGATAGCTTTGTGGCAAATACAAGATTTAATACTGTTTGATTCGAATAATACTCTAGGTTTCTGATTCTGGACCGATAGTTATATACATGATTGTTTGAATGATTCATGGTTCGGGGCACCACATGCAGCAGATGGTTAAACGTTTAATGCCAACGCGTTTCACTGCACTGACCGCAGCATCATCAGGGCTGAACTGAATTGCTTCAAGGCATTTATGTCCAACAAGCGAACAATACCAATTTTTTCAATTGGTTCGTCACATAAGTCAAAGCGTTGTCAAACTATCTGAACAAAGGATAATGTTTACGTCAAAATTTATCGGATCCTTGTTGTTTTGGCATGATTTTGCGTATCAGTTTTGTGATTGCGCTCCAGCTTTCACTGATAACAACAGAAGATATACATTCGTTGCAATTTTTTGATTTAATATGCCATTTGAAACATCTTATCTATTACATTGGCCCAGTAATGACTTTTCGAAGTGAAGAGGTGTAGTAATATCATAAATTTAAGTACTTCAGAACCATCATGCAGCAAAGATGCCATCCACTTAGAGTTAAACGGGAGGATCGTCCTTATTTCTAGTAATACCCGGCTAACCCTATTTTTAGTGCTACCTTTGCTACCTGTTCAATATTTCGTCTGCGACGCTTTGGCACAATCTATGATCAGTGTCAGCGCGCAGTTCTATAGTAGCAGATTTGGATCAGTGCAACTATAAGATAGTCTACTACATCCGACACTGAAGTTGCTCAGTCGGTGGAGCGTCGAGCTCGGAATCGAGAGGTCACGGGTGCTACATCCTGTTCTGACCGCTTGCCTTTCTTCTGAGGATGATTAATAAGTACCAATCTGTGAGAAATTAACAGAAATCAAAAGATATGTTTGTCCCATATGTATAGACGCTGCCTTTAAAACGTGGCACTCCTGGTTGATTGCACAGAAACGGAGATCAACGCCGCACCATAAGCTTAATAATCGAAAGTACGCCACAAATGGTCGATAATAAAAAAATTGTAAGGGTGACCACATACAAATGGTTGCAAACTTTCCCATTCTTTTCTTACATTTTAATAATCTATTCGCCTTAACGCAAATTCTACATATCAACGGAAAGAGAAGCCGTCTGTGACCAGAAATTGAAGCTTTGGTCAAAATTTTGAACTTCCGTACTTTCCACGTTATTTCATAATTCTGTCATGGCGATTTTATTCACGAGATCATTGTCAGACAAATTCACATGGTCTCGAGCTGGAATCTTTAGAATTGGCAGGTACTCACATGAATGAATTACATGACTGGACCCGTTATTTTGTATATCAACGGAAATCATAATTTGTCAAACTTGCGAATTTTGAAGAAATACACTTATTTTCATATGTAATAGTTCCATTGTGACAGTTGCGAGACACCATTAGTTCAGTGAGCCATCTTGTTGCTGAGAGTTTGAATCGATGCAAATCGCAAATCTGGCTCAATTCCTCTCAAGATCCATTGCAGCATGTCAAATATCAAGGTAAAATTTTCTCATAGTAAACCGCGAATCATTTGTCAGATCTGGCAATTTCAGATAATACGTATTGTATCATTCAACTGGGGACATCAGCTCCAGGCAATCAATTCAAGACAGTGCGGTCATAAAGATTTCGTTCTTAACAATGAGCACACTTGTCGGATACCCATTTGTACATGGCACCAATGAAGATTGGCTTGTGGAGGATCATTAAAGAAGGAAAATCATTGGCCGTTTGCTGAATGGCACACTGAGCCACGTTTGTCCAATCATTGGTTCCGTTTCTGAACAGGCCCATTGGCGCTGCTATGGGAACAGATGGAAGAAGAATGAAGCAGTGTTCATTATATAACATCTTTCTATAATGTTTAATTTTTCCATTCCACCAAGATCTCAAGGACTGTGCGCTGGTTTCAAGACTTGGCGTATTTCTCGCAATAAAATCATAGAATTAAAATCTCAGGATGTCACAAATTTGACAGATGCTCTGCACTGTATTTTCAGATTGTTTTGTTTCAAATATAACATTTCGGTGTAGTCTATGAATTTGTACAGGCCAACACCTCTCAGTTATATAAGTTTCAAACTCACGACCATACGAATGCGCGCCAATTATGTAGGTTCAAACTCCTCGATCAAATGACAGGGCATTGACGTCGACCAGCTATATGCACGGCTGCCCCGAAAGATCCCTTACTGGGGTTGCGAAAGGCATCTCTTTGTCCACAAAATCAGTCTGTAACTTACTTCAATCAAGTCAGTTTACGGCATGGTGGCCGTCGCTCTGGCTAAAGGCCAAAATGACGGTTGAACTGAACACAACAGCACTAGCTTTGACTCATTATGAGAATTAAATGGCGAGACTACGTTCGGAATGACCCTGCTGCTTTCTTGGAGCAGGTGATCCCAGCAAATCTGGAGATTAAGATACTTAGGTTGGTTCTGCTAAACTCACTGGTCGAGGAAAACCTATCCCACGAGCCGGTCGCGTAGGAGCCGAAACAACCGAAGTCGACCAGGAGCAATTAGGTGAAGGCAGATCCGCTTTCGAAGGGGGACATTTCTTTAGTGCAGCTACTGGTATTTCACAGAAAAAAATTGAAAATCCGCGAATACAGCCGATGTCACAATGAGATACGATCTTTTTGAGCGAAAGGCTCATGGTGATGATCACAACAAACTTAAACCAGAGCCACTGTGGGATACAGATATTACTGATCTTGGTGCGACACCTCAACAAGATTAGTGGCAGTGTTTGAAGAACTCCCGAAAGTATCATCTTAAATGCATCACAAGGATAACGGAAAGCGCATGTAAAGAACTTATTGTTTCAGTAGAAACGGGACATAAAATTACAGCAACCTTCAATTTCCCATTAACTTCTCACGTGGTAACCATTACACTACATGTAATTTTCAGGAAGACCACAAGAACACCACTGGAGAAATTGGGCACTACCTGCATTAAAAAATTTTTCATTTGATGGTGCTGAAACTTATGCTTTATAAATTTCATTTGGCCGCTAGAAATATAACGCATGGGAAAAACAGAAACCGACAT